CCCAGAACTAGCTCTTGTAGACCAGGTTGGCCTCAAACTCTCAGAGATCCGCCTGCCTCTGCCTCCCGAGTGCTGGGATTAAAGGCGTGCACCACCATCATCTGGCTTTTTTAAGGTTTATTATGTATACAGTGTTCTGTCTGCATGTATGCTTGCACACCAGATCTCATCGTAGATGGTTGTGAGTCACCACGTGTTTGCTGGGAATTGAACCCAGGTCCTCGAAAGAACATCCAGTGCTCTTCTGAGCCATCTCCAACCCCGACTTTGCTTTTTTTTTTTTTTTTTAACCCAGTTTTGGGGTTGAACCCTGGTCCTCGTGCTTCGAAAGTTTTGACAATCAAGCTTTCTTCCTACTCCCATTTTGGTTTAGAAGAGTCTGGCTGTCTTATGCTAGAACTTGGGAGTGTACAGCTGGTTGATATTTTTTGAGACAGGGTTTCTCTGTAGCTTTGGAGCCTATCCTGGAACTAGCTCCTGCAGACCAGGTTAGCCTCCAACTCACAGGCCTGGCATTATCCTGTGTCTGTTATCTGCCTGATTTGTGTGCAAGGCAGCAAGCCCAGGGCTCTGCACCAGGTGCCATGTCTCCACCCTTTTGCACTTGGCTGAGCTGTCACACTCCAGCTTTGGCTCATCCTGAACTCCCAGGGCTCTGGAATCCTCTTAGCCTCCTGAGTGCTGGGACTAGGGTTGTGAAGCGCCACACCAGCACCACTATTTAAGTGCCAGGAAAAAACAGAGGAAATGTGAAAGAAAGGCCTATGGTCTTTGTTACAAAGAAAGCAAATCCAGACTGCCTGGGTGATGGGAGAAGTAAGGGCCATGCTGGGCTGAGGAAGCTTTCAATGTCAGCTGAAATGGGTACCAATGATACCCTGGAAGGGTCACCCAGGTTTAAGGAGCCTCCCATCTCTACACAGTAGGCCAGGCAAACTCAATGCATCTGCTCTTTCATGTCGGTAGGGAGAGGGCATGGAGCTGATCTGTAGGCTCAAACACTTGTCTCTGGTAACATCCTATCTGCTGTGGCTTTGGGTATATGCCTGTTCCCAAAAAGGCAGGAAAATCAAAAGGTCAAGGTCATCCTTGGCTGTGGAGGTGAGTGAGTTCAGCCTAACTTAAGACAATTTCAAAAATACTACAGGGGCAGTTAAGAGCATTGGCACCCACAGGGCAGTTCACAACTGTAACTCCAGTACCAAAGGATGTGACATCCTCATGCAAGCAGGCAAAATACCAATTAATGCACATTAAAAAACAAACAAAAAAAACGAGCCAGGACTTGGGAGCTCTTCGGTGTTAGTCCTGTGTGTTCTTTATTTGCAGAGAAGGGAAGAATGCTAGGAAGTGGCTTACCAAAGAGCCCACTGTGGAAATGATACTACTAGGTCAGAAAGGCCCAGCCCCTTCATAGCATGCTACAAGGCTCTAAATTACACCCTGTCTGTGCCCTGCAGACCCAGGACAGTGGTTGTAGAAGCCCAATTGGGTCTTGTTCAGACACCTCTGATATGTGACCTGGGGACCTTGGCAACCAGAACCTACTTTCTAACAAAACGTTAGCTGCAAGAGTTAGCCTAGAGAAGCAGTTGAGTGGCCAGTGAGCTGCACTGGTGAGAGGCTGCCCTGCATATCAACACAGCCTGGAGATCACTGCTGAAGACCACACATAGCCACCGAGAACTGCTCACATAAAGTTCTTTGTTGAGACAAGGTTTCACGTAGTCTTGGCTGACCTAGAACTTGCTATGTACAACCTCAGATTCTCAGAGATCTGCCTGCCTCTAGAGTGCTGGGATCAGAGGTGTGTACCACACCAGACCCAGGAGATAGGACATTTCCATAGGCAAGAACAGCTCCACTGGGGGCAGCCCTGACATCAGGCACAGAGAAGTGGAGTGAGGCCATTGAGTACTGCTAGGTTCAGCATCGCCTCACATGCTCAGGCTGGTGATGAGGGTGTTCCTGAGAAAATGTCTCCAGTGATAAAGGTTCTGCAGCAGGGAGCTGAAGATAATGGGAACTGGAGGGCAGCAGGCTCTTTTTCCTTTTTGAGACAGGGTCCCTGTGTAGCCCTGGCTGTCCTGGAACTCGCTATGTAGACTACTGGCTATAAACTCAGAGATCCACCTGCCTCGGCCCATGAGTGGTGGATTAAAGGCAAGCGACACCACTATCCGGCTCAAAGTCCACGTCCTGATTTGATTTATTCTTTTCTGTTTTTTTTTTTCTTTCTCCACTCTTTTAAGAAAGGGCTTTTGATGTGTTGCCAAAGCTGACCTCAAGGGTCCTCCTGCCTCAGCCTCTGGAGCAGCTGGGACTCCAGGCACTGTCCACATAACCACTGTCATTCATCCCCTTTTTGAGTCAGACTGTAGCTGTAAGCAGGCTGACCGGTGGGCAAGAATCCTGAAGCCCTTGTAATCTGGGGCTGCGATGCCTAGATAGGAGTTGGGGGTAGGGATGCAGCTCATTAAGAGGAGGAGCAGCTAAGTTAGCTTGGGATCTATGGTTTTCCGAGAGGAACTAGAGACCCCTTCACTGAGGCTCATGGCTCCTCCCAAAGGCACAGCTGAAACACATCTGGAGAGGGAAATGCTTTTCCTTGCGCCAGGCTCTGGAGCAGACAGCCCTTTCTCCCTCCCTACCTCCTTGAATACCGGGAATTCCGGCGCCACTGGGAGCCTGGGCCAGGCTGGGAACTTTCCTACAGCTGGCGGTGGCTGGGAATGTGCAACTCTGCAGAGGCGGGGAGGGCCAGCCTCAGCCACTGTGAATGTGTGTGTGTGAAGGGAACACAGGACTCCGCTCCTAGGAGCCCCCAGTACACAGCCCAGGCCTGTGGGCACAGTGGCATTCAGGAAGCAAACAGCTCCTTTTATTGAGTCTGGTTTTGGGCTGGTTGACTCACAATCACCTCTTGTAACCCTGGTGGCTCTTGGAACTAGACAGGCAGCTCAGACTGTGAGGATCTGTCCCTAGCAGTGAGACTAGGGAGGTCACTTCTCTGTGTCCGTCTCCTTTTCCTATTTTTGGACCGAGAGAGGGTCTCACTCTGTTAGACCAGCCTGGTTCCTCATCTCTATAATGATTAAAAACAAGAAACTGGAGAGTTGTCTGAGCTTAAACGTGTACACTGTTCTTGTGAATGGCCCAAGTTCCTAGCATCTATGCTTGGTGCATAACTACCCCCCTGTAACTCCAGCTTCAGAGGACTCTGATGCCCTTTTCTGGACTCCAAAGACACTTGTACTCATGCGCACACACAAAATTCAAGCAAACCCACCAACAAACAAGGGCTGGGGATAGATGGGTGCAGTGGTGGAGCACTTGCCTAACAATCCCAAGGGCCTGAATTTAATGCCCAGCACTGAAAACAAAAGCCATCCTCTTCTCGTGGTATTGGGGAGGTGACTTCCTGACCAAACTCTGGAATATCAGGCCCCCAAAAGTCTGGTTCTCAGACTGCAAAAACCAAACCAAACAAAATCCTCATTAGCCTCTTAGGGATGCCGAGGGTCAAAACAAAATGAGCTCACACAGAGTGACAACCTTAAGGCCAGCAGCTAGTCTGTAATAAAGCACAGCCTCTGGCTGCTCGCCAATGGCTAACAACCAGATTCCTGAGCTCTGAAGGTTAGGACTAGACTCTGTATGTGAGCAGAATGACTCCCTGGTGAGTCACGGGTTAAGATGCACTTGAGAAGTGACAGGATATGCTTACTGGATGCTAAGAGCATTCCAAGGAGACAGGAAAGCCAGCACTCCGAAAGGAATGTCACACGCCAAATAAAGGGGACTTGAGTTTACAGCCCCAGACACAAGGATGCCTCAGAATTCCAGGGAGGATCATGGCCGGTGAAGGAAGGAGCTGGCATTCTATCATAAAACATTCTATCATAAACTGTGCTACCCAGTAAACCACTGTTGGAGGGGGCAGGATGCAAACATAAAGCCCTTTTAGTCCTACAGCTTGAATTATTCTGTGGGAGGCAAAGGCATGTGGAGGAATTGCAGAGATCCCAAATGAGGGGGAATGTGGTGTGTGTGCGTGTGTGGTTGGGTATGGGTGGGGCTGTTGGAAATAATAATCAGAATATTCATGGGAAAACGAGGCCTGGGTGTTTCCAGGGAAACCAAACGAGGGACAGAGCTCCTACATCCCAACTTGATCTGCCCTGGTGTCAGCATGGAAAGGACCCGGGGGTTATGGTACCTGGAAGAACCCCATCAAGGAGAGATGGTAGAGAACAGAGAAGGTGGTGCTGATGGGGAGGTGTCTGGATGATTGATGGGCAGACAGACAGCTGGGAGGAGGGGCGGGCAAATGGTGGGTGGACACGGAGAGGTAGATACCGGAGGTATTCGGATGGAAGAGTGGAATAGAATTGGAGGTAGGATGATGAATGAAATTGGATGGAAGGAAGGAGAACAGGATAAAAATCAATGGGTAAGATACTAGCTAGGAAAATGAACACATCACAGGGGCAGAGGGAATGATTTCAAAGGGTCTACCCAGAGAAGAGTTTTTGCCCCTGTAGCCCAGGTTGTCCCCCAAACTCCTGGGCTCATGAGGTTCTCATTTCAGCTTTCCAAGCAGCTGTGACCAGAGGTGGGCACCATCATGCATGCCCAGTCTGAGCAGGACTGGCTTTCTTGGAGAATTACTGAATAATTGTAAATGCCTCAAAACTACAACCCAGGTTCTAACAGTTTCTAATGATTCCCGAAGATCTTGAGGCTCCCCATTTTTGTCTTTTGTTCTTGGGTTCTTTCTGAGACAAGGTCTAATGTTGCTCAGGCTGGCTTTGAACTTACTATGTAGTCAAGAATAGCCACAAATATCTGGCCCTTCCTCTCCACGGATTACAGGTATCCACTAGCATACCCAGTTTAGGTAGTGCTGGGAACTGAAATTAGGGCTCTGCGTTCTAAGCAAGCACTCTACCAATTGAGCTACATGCCCACCCTGAGATACCCCAAATGTTCTTAAAGAGTTTTCACACTTGGGCCACATCAGCCCTTCCCATTTATCATGTTTTACATCTCCCACTACCTCAAGAATGGCAAAACACACAGCATTTCATAAAGTTAATTAACAAAATAACCGTGACCTCAGAAGGGCCGGCCATCTATGAACACAGATCCCAGGGCCTGGAAAGCTGCAGCCATGTCCAGACCCGTGTCCTGACTCTGGATGGGAAAGTTCTTGAAGCTTAGGAAGCCCAATGTCCAGGCTTACATATGAGAAGGGGCATCAGGAGCCCCCTGGGCCTTGGGAAGGCCCACAGGCTCCCGGGTGGGGGGCTGCCAGGAGAGCAGGGTGGTTCAGCCGAACCTGGGCTTTGGCTGGCCGTAGCCGCCCACCACCACCTACCTGGATACTAACTGTGGTGGCGTAGCTGAGCCTCCTGGCTGGAGGGGCTGGGGGCTGGGGCTGAGGTGGTGGTGAAGGTGCCCGTGATGTGGGGGCAGAGGAGGACCAGTGACCCTGGGAGGCTACCAGGCTGTCTCCACCAGGTCCCTGACGCCGAGCCAGGCTCTGGCTGATATATGAAGCTGCCAGGTACCTTGAGAGGGCAGCTGCACTGGGGCCCAGGAGCTGGCGAGTGGAGAGTGAGGGGCTTTGCAGTGGGGTTGAGTCTGAAGACTCTGACTTGACAACAGGAGAGACCAAATGGCCTCTTGGTTTGGATAACTCCACGGTGGTGGGAATCGGGGTGGTTACTAGGCCTTGAAGGTCCTGAGAGCATCCTTGTTCGGTAAAATGTGTGGCCCCTGAAACATGGCCATCTGTGGGGTTCTGCTGGCCCAGTGGAGAAGGTGAGAGTCCAGAAGGTGGTATGTCTGTGAGGCTGGACTCTGGACCCCGAGAATCTGGAGCTCCCTCCTGCTTGGGGAACAATTGGGGAGCTTCTGCCCTGATGTCTGCGAGGACTTGGGGCTGGGACATGGGTATGGTAGTTGGCATCTCAGTGTCTTGGGACAAAGGCGGCAGAGGGCTGCATGGGATGCAGCAGTCCGGATGACCTCCCTGTGTAGGGAGAGGTAAGGCGCCAGGACCCTCGAAGTCTGGGAGGTCAGGTGACAATGGCCGGGAGATGGTGACTGGGATCTGATGGTCAGGGCTGCTTGTGTATATTGGTAAAGGGCTGACAGCTTGGCCCCCGACGGCAACTGGGCCCTGATCAATGCTGACCTCTCTCTGCTCACTTCCTGGGGCACTGTTTGACTGTTGGCTGTCTTCGTGACCCTCTTGCTTGGGCAAGAGGGGGGTGGTTAAAATCACGACGCTAGCACAAGCTCCCTGGTTAGGCAATGCCATAGTGGTTTGCATTTGGAGTTCAGTGTGACACTCTTGCCCAGGAAGGCAGGTACTGGTGGACGGCACCTGGATTTCCATATAGTCTCTATGATCCATTGAAGGAGCGGCAGCTGGAACTTGACTCTGATCAGGCAAAGCGGAGGCAGCTGGTACCTGGACATCTGGAGAATCTTCTTGCTTGGGCAAAGGGGATATGGATGGAACCTGGATGCTCTCAAAGTCGCTTTGCCCAGGTAAAGGAACAGGTGGAATGCAGCTGCCTAGATGGTCTTGCCTGGGCAAATCCGAAACATTTAGACTCTGGCCATTCAGGTGAACTCCTTGCTCAGACAAAGGTGTGGCAGCTTGAACGAGAGCAGCAGGGCCCAGAGGGACAGACTCCTGGGCACAGTTCAGTGGGAAGGCCAGTTCACACACAAGCACATGTCCAAAAGCAGGCAGGGGCCCTGTATACAAAGAAAAGAGGATCAGGGGCTAAGGATGCAGCTCAGCTGGAGAACCGTTGCCTAGAATCCCCAAAGAGGGACTGGGGGTGTGGCTCAGTGGTGGAGGCCCTGCCTAGAATCTCCCCAATGAGGGACTGGGGTGTGGCTCAGTGGTGGAGGCCCTGCCTAGAATCCCCCCAATGAGGGGCTGGGGGTGTGGCTCAGTGGTAGAGCCCCTGCCTAGAATCCCCCCCAATAAGGGACTGGGGGTGTGGCTCAGTGGTAGAGCCCTTGCCTAGAATCCCCCAGTGAGGGGCTGGGGTGTGGCTCAGTGGTAGAGCCCTTGCCTAGAATCCCTCAGTGAGGGGCTGGGGTGTGGCTCAGTGGTGGAGCCCTTGCCTAGAATCCCCCAGTGAGTGGCTGGGAGAGTTGCCCAGTGGTAGAGGCCCCAGGCCCTAGCACCACATAGGAAAACATTTAAGTCACCTGGCTCAGCCTCCTCCTCGGGTGGGCAGGGGGATGGCTGGGGTTGGGCCAGGACTCGAGGTCGGCGGCGGGGTGCATTGGTGGATGCCCTCGTCTCGGCTCGCTGCATCTGCTGAATCCGCTCACTGTAGAGCCGAGCCAGCTCTCGCACCCTGGACGCTGAGCGATCGGAATGTGGCATTCCTGCCTTCCCGCTAGTGCTGCCTCCACTGAGATCAGAGTCCTCCAGGATCAGCAGAGGTTCTGGGAAGCCAGGCCGGGCCAGCTGCCCCTGCTCCAGCGCTTGCCAGGCGCTTCGGATTTCTGAACAAGAGCGATATTCCAGTTCCTCCGGGAATCCTTGGACTTGGGTGCCACCCTGGGTCTGCACAGCTGGAAACAACATGCCTTCTGCGTCTTCCTCCTGCCCCTCTCTGCTTTCTGAGGGTGGCTCGCCCAGTCTTCCCGGACTGCTCTCAGTCGACAGTTCCCTCCTGGTGGCTAGAGGCTGGGCAGACTCCTGCAGGGGTCCAGGGAGCCAGGAGCCACAAGGGAAGGAGGGGGTGCTGGCCAAGCTGGGGATGTCAGGGACACTGGACATGGGTGAAAGGCACGGCATCTCAAAAACACCAGGGATGTCAGAGAGGCTTGGAAGGCAGGGAACCTCGGGAATTTCTGGAAGGCTGGGCGTGTCGTTGGGAATCTTGGTAAGGCTGGGTATGCAGGGAATTTCAGCTGGACTGGAACCTTCCAGCCCCTCTAAGACATGGAGTGGAGATGGCTCCCGTTCATCTGCCTCCAGCTCTTCCTCCTCCTCTTCTGAAGACTCTCGGCTGGGCAAGGCTTGGAACGGGAGGGGTTCGCTTTCAACTGGCACCCTGGAGTCTCTGGGGAAGTTGGGAATGTCGTGGGTGGCTGGCTGTAGTGGGCACACAAAGAAAGTCAAGACATCAGGGGGATGGGGTGGTGGGCTGCCCTGGGCTGTGTTCTCTGCTGCCCAAGGCCAGCGCTTCAGGGCTGCTATGATGGCGGCTGCAGCTCACCCCTGGGTCCCTGAGGCCTCTCTGGTTAAGCAACTCTAGAATTTCCTCAGTGATGGAGGTTCCCGATGGTTCCAATGTGGGAGGTCCAGCATCCTCCAGGTCTTCAGGGGGACCAGAAACAGACATGGGTGGCTGCAACTCAGGTGGGGGATGGAGCTCCCCTTCACTGCCAGCATGCTGTAAGGAGGAGAGGGGTGCAAAGCAAGGGCCAAGACTGCTCTGTTCCCCAAATTCCCAGTCCCTCCTCTTATACATGGGGGAAGTCAAGGATCCTGACCCTCACCTTCTTATTCTACCTTTGAACAGGGCCTTATGTGGCCCAGGCTGGCCTTGAGTTTCTAGTTCTCCTGCCTTCCCACCACAGGCAGTTTGGGCTTCACCACCCCATCCCTCTTTTGTTTTTTGGTTTTTCAAGACAGGGTTTCTCTGTAGCTTTAGAGCCTGTCCTGGCACTCACTCTGTAGACCAGGCTAGCCTCGAACTCAGAGATCCGCCTGCCTCTGACTCCCAAGTGCTGGGATTAAAGGCGTGCACTATCACCGCCCAGCTGTTATCACCCCCTTTTTGAAATGAAGTATAGAGGATGGAACTCAGGGACTCATGCATACCAGAAACTTGACCAATGAGTATTATTCTCCCAAAATGAGCCCCCCTTTTTTGAGAGATAGGGTCTCACTGTGTAGCCTGAACTGATCTAAAACTCAATATGTAGACTAAGCTAGCCTTGACCTCACAGACGTCTGCCTGCCTTTGCCTCCTGCTGGGATTAAAGATGTGTGGAACATCATACCTGACCTGCTAGCCATTTTTTATTTTGAGACAGATAACTTGCCCATACTGGCTCAAACTTTTGATCCTCTTCAGTTTCCAGTGTAGCCTGAATTGTAGTCATTTGCCAGAACACCTGGCTGAAGGCTCTCGCCCCCTCCCTGAGTCTCGCGGAGTCCAGGCTAGACTAGAACTTTTGCCTATAGTCAAGGATGACCTTGAACTCCTGACCCTCCTGCCTCAATCTCCCCTTAAGCTGGGATTTCAGCTTGTGCCATCACATCTAATTTTATGTGCTGCTAAGGGCTCAAACCTAGAGCACGCTGGGTAAGCACAGAACCAATGTAGCTGTGTCCCCAGGTCTTTAATCTGTGCTTATTCTGACTCAGGGCATTTCTCATTTCTTACCTTGACTTGAGGCTTCTCTGGGGATGGAGAAATAAAAAAACAGAAAAGAGACACAGAAGTAGATTATTCCCTGTAACTGACCAGCTGACCCCTCCTCCCTCTCCAACTACCCCAAGGCATCCCTGGAGAGAAGCAAGGACAGACTCACAGACAGACAACCAGTCACTAACCGTTCTGGGGAAGAATGACATAAGATTCCTTTGCTGGCTCTGGGGGAGGGACACAGGGTATCAGGAGGCCAGGCCCTTGGGTCCCTGGGTCCCCTTGAAGGGGTGAGTACTCACCAGACTTCCTGCGGCCACGACGACTGCCGGAGAGTCCTGGAGACGGAGCTGTGGGACAGATGGTCAGAGTCCATGTCAGCCCAGCCCTTCAGCCTTGGGGCCCGGGGACCCAAAACAACATTCCATCTGTTACCTGGGTTTCTTCTGCCAGGGGTGAAACTTCGAGCGTCCCGAGGGCGGGGAGAGTCCAGTGGGGACTTTGGGGGCTCTGGGATAGATCTGCTTTTTGGAGCACCTGCGGAGGAGAGGTGAAGGACTGTCTACCTTCTCGGAAGCATCTCCTCTTTTAGGACCACATAGGACCACAGCCCAGGCCCCTGGACTCACAGTGCAGGCTGTTCTCCAAAAGAACTTGCTTTGCCTGAAAGACAGGGAGACGGGTGTTTGAGAGGAGGGGTCCGGAGAGCAGGCCCTGAGCACAACCATTCCCAGGAATGAACAACTGCTTCTAACACTAGGTCGACAACAGGGTACCCCTACTGCCTGCTGTTGTTGGCACTATTCCTCCAGGCGAGGAAATCCAAAGCCAGGGATCTTGTTGCCCAAGATCACAAAGCAAGAGTATGCTGCATCCCAAAGTCAGAAAGCCTAACTCTGCAGGGTTAGCCATCAAGGTGGCAAGCGTCCCCCACCCACATTATTCGGGTCTGCCATGGAGACTGGGTCCTATGCCACTTGTTATGGCAGGTCCATACCTTGGCAGGGATGGAAGCCGGGTGATTCTCAAAGAAGAGGCGCTGGAGACAATGGATCCACAGCCGTTTCTCTTCTTGGTTCTTGGCCTGGGGGTAAGGTAGGTGGAGGTCAGGGATCTGGGCTCTGAGCTACAGCAGGGGTAGGTGTTGGCCCAGCCCACCTTCTGCGTACCTGGAGCAGGTGTCTGTGTTTGGGGATGGTCAGATCCGACACCTTAAATCCTAAGGGGTCCCGAGGCGTCTCAGTGACACTCAGGTTACAGCACTGAAGGAGAAACAGAGTTGGTGAGGTGCCAAGACCCTCCTGGCATTAGATACCAGGGTTCTAATATCCTAGAAAGCAGCGCCTCATGGGCTGTTTTGCCTCTCACCCCAACAGGCTGGACGCCCCTTACTCCCTTACCAGACTCCCTTCTACCTTCCTGAAGACACCCTCTGAACTTACTCCCACATTTTAAAACATTGGAGTCTCACTATGTAGCTCAAACTGGTTTTGTTTTTCGAGTCAGGGTTTCTCTGTAGCTTTGGAGTCTGTCCTGGAACTAGCTCTTGTAGACCAGGCTGGCCTCAAGCTGGCAAAGATCTACCTGCCTCCTCCTCCCAAGGGCTGGGATTAAAGATGTGCACCACCACCGCCCAGCTAGTTCCCCCTGTTTTTTAATTCAAGGAAAATGCTGGCTGGACATGATGGCACACACCTGTAATCATAGCACTTGGCAGCCTGAGGCTGGAGAATTAAAGCAAGTGTGAAGTCAGCAAGGCATGCATAGTAAGCTCCAGGCAGCGAGACTATAAAGACTGGAGAGAAGGCGCAGTGGGGCAGAAGTGTTTGTGTTCCAGCCTTAAGATCTGAGATCAATCCCCAGGACATAACATAACTGAATTATAAGAGCTGTCCTCTTGTTTGTTTTCTCTCTCTCTCTCTCTCTCTCTCTCTCTCTCTCTCTCTCACACACACACACACACACACACACAAAGTAAAAACAAATAAAACATGGGCCACTGCCACATGGTTCAATCTGCCCTTCATTCTGGACGTCGGATTCCCTGCTTTTGCTTTCTTCTCAACTAAAAATCCTTTTGTTGTTTATCCCAGCACTGGAGAGGCAGAGACAAGCAGGTTTTTGTGAGTTTGAGGCCACCTAAAGCTACTTAGTGAGACATTAGAGAGACTGTGTTTCAAAAACAAACTATATGTCTGAGGGGGTGTGCCACGTGCATGTGAGCCCCTGGGCCTGTGGAAGCCAGAGTTAGGCTCCTCCGTCGCTGGAGGTCAGGTGGTTTGGAGCAGCCTGCTGTGAATGCTGGGATCAAATCTGGATCCTTTGTAAGAGCTATCGCTCCAACCCTTCCACTTTCGTTTATTTTACATTTAATAGTGGGGGGCGGGGGTACACACCACCAAGGGCCCCTGGAGGTCAGAGGACAGCTCTGTGGTATCTTTACTCCGAGCCATGTGGCCACCTGCTATGCTCACTGTTGCTTTTTTTAACTTCTGGTTTTGAGACAGGGTCTCGTTCACCCAATAGTCCCAGCTAGCCTAGAACTGACACAGATCACTGTGCCTGTGCTGGGACCTGCTTTTGAAATAGGATCTCACTGTGCAGCCTACACTGGCCTTGGGCCCACTTACAAGTCTGGCTGGCCTCAAACTTGCAGCAACCTTGCTTCAGTTCCCCAAGTGCTCAGTTTTCAGGTGTGAGCTACCACATCCAGCTTTTAGCCTTTTTTCCCCTCCCCCTTTGCCTTATTTATTTATTTATTATTTTTCCATTCAAAATTTTCACTTCCTCCCCTCCTCCCATTCCCCCTTCAGTTTTATTGAGACAGGGTTTCTTTGTGTAGCCTTGGCTGGTCTTGAACTCAGAGATCCACCTGTCTTTGCCTCCTGGGATTAAAGGCATGTGCCACCACCACCTGGCCTAGCCTTTACTTTTTGATACAGAATTTCATCAAGTTTCCCAGACTGGTCTAGAGCCTTCTCTGTAGCTCAGGCTAGCCTTTAACTTTTGATCTTCCTGTCTCAGTTTCCCCAGTAACTGGAATCATAAGTCTAATGCCACTGGGCCCAGCTAAATACGTCCGTGGAAGCCTGGCTGTCCCCTACAGGGTATTCAGGTGAAGATATACTGAAGGTATTTTAGTTGTGTCTGCAACGGACCCCACCCCATACTCACAAAAATGTGGCCCTTGTAGGTGTATTCAGGCCCCCGCCGTTTGGCCACAAGCAGCATCCGGGAGAACAGGAAGAGCAGGCGTTCACCCCCTCGCAGCCGAGGGCCTCCCCCGCCGCCTCCACGGAAGGTGCCTTCCAGCACCAGTTCTCCAAAGGCACTGAGCTCGGGGCCAGTCCAGCCACCTAGTCGCCGCTGCACTTCCTGCCAGGACCACACCAGGCACAGAGACAGGCCCGGGTTGGCGGCGCACACATATGGGACAAAACAAAGGTGTTAGTGACAGGGATGCCGCCAAGACTGTCCCCCAGCTCTGTCCCCAGCCAAGTTGGCCCAGCCCACCCTGGGGCCACCTGAAGGCGTGCTGCATGCTCTTGCTTGCGCTTCATGTCGTTGATGTACCAGGCCACTGCGGTCATGGACACAATAGCTTCTTCTACCATCTCTCGCCCTCCGGTGTCTGGGCCCTCTGCCCAGTGTTTGCCCAGTTCCTGCCAGTCATCCATCAGAGTGAGGGGAAAAGAGAAAGAAAGATGAGAATGACAGGAAGCAGAGCAACATGTAAGGGGAGGGGCTGACCACACAAAGTCCAGGGAACCACGACGGCTGCTGGACCCAATCATGCCCATCTCCATAAGCCAGGTGCCAGGGGCCACAGCTGACCTGCAGCAACAGATGGTACTTCAGGATGCGCTGAACAGGCTTCAGCAAGAAGCTCTGCAGAGGCAGGGAGTGACGGAGCTGGGCCTGACGTTCCTGCAGCCACAGAGTGGCTGGCGGAGACAGCGACAACTCTCGGAGCAGGGCCAGGGAGCTGGAGGCACAGGACGAATCAGTGGCGGCTGGTGCTCCAGAAGGCAGGGCTGGGAGGGGTGGGCGTGTGGCCAGGGCTCAAGGGGTCTTCAGGTCAGGGCAGTTAAGAGGTCAGTGACTATTGAGGTCTGGCAGGGGCTGCACCTGGGCTCTGGGTGGGTTAGAGGGTAGAGGCTGGCACACTGGCTCATGGGCATGGCCTGGGCCAAGCAGGGACTCCCTCTGCCTCACCTCGGGTAGTTCATGCAGTACAATGTGTAGATGTCAAAATCCTCGCTCTGTGGGGACACGGGAGTCAGCATCACCGATCTTCCCATGGCCCCCGGGAAGCTTAGCCAGCCCAACTGTCCCCTCGCCTCAGGCGCTGGCTCATGCTCACCCTTTGCACAAAGCACTCGGCGATGCCCCCAGCACTGTTGCTGCTCTCCAAGTCCTCCAGCAGCTCACTGCGGGGGGAGGGGAAAAGTAAAGAACCGCCTGCCTCCTTGTCCCATGGCAAGACTTAGGAGTTCAAGAGACGGATGGGAAGGAGCCTAAGTAATGTGGGCTACAGGAGACGCCTGCCCCACTCATTCTGTCTCTGCATGGCTTCATAGTCTTCATCCTGATAACCCTGTCACAGCTGGCATGTAGCAACGTAAGGAGTGACAGCACAGCCCTGGGAAAGAGGGTGCTGGGAATTCCCAAACAGATGATCTTAAAATTTGATTGTAAGCCAAGGAATCGTGGCACTAGACCGTCTCTTCAGTCACTTGGGAAGCAAGGAAGAAGGACCAAGAGTTCAAGGCCAGCCAGGCACTGGTGGCGCAAGCCTTTAATCCTAGTACTTGGAGCTCTGGGAGTTCGAGGCCAATCTGGTCTACAGAGCAAGTTCCAGGACAGCTATGGCTGTTACACAGAGAAATGTTATCTCAAAAAACAAAAAGAGAAGAAAGAGAAAAAAGAGTTTAAGGTTGGTATGGACTACTTAGTTAGACTCGTGTCTCAAAACAAAACAACAAACGAACAAACAAACAAAGAGAGGGCGAGAAAAGCTGAAGACACAGCTCAGCAATACAGAGCTTGCCCAGGATGTCCAAGGTCCAGGGTTCAATCTTCAGTTTTTAAGTTAAAAAAAAAAAAAAACACAACAAAAGACTCTGTTACTCTGCTACAAGACAGGCACACCTATAATCTCATCCCCAGGAGACCGAGACAATTTTGAGGACAACTCAAACCACACCAGGAGACCCTATTTGAAAAAAAAAAACAAAAACGCAAAAAAACACCCAGGACTAGATGGGAGTGGCGGTGCATGCCTATAATTCCGGCACTTGGGAGGTAGGGGCAGGGAAATGAGTTAAGGTTGTCCTCAGTTACACAGTAAGTTCCAAGCCAACCTAATTACAGGAGACCCTGTTGGTCTCAAGTAATAAAACAAACCACCAAACCTTTCCCTGTGATGCTGACATGTTACTCTCAAGCCCCAGTGTCCTTTCACGAGGGTGAGCAGCCAACTGGGTTTGGTCAGGGCTGAAGGTGCCCCATGCCCAGGGAATCGCAGTGCTAAATATGGGAAAATTCTAGGCACCCAGGCCCCACATGACCTGAGATCCCAACTAACAAATGGCACCTTTGTGGTTCCCTGTCTTTCCCACCTTCAGTCCTCAACTGTCCCCATCAACCTTACTGCTCAGTGGCACCACACCTCACATGCCAGCCTACACAGGGCCACTATGAGGCACTCAGGTTAATGTTAGGACACAGCCCCTCCCCTGCCACAGCAGCCAGTTCCCTTGTGGTCCCCACCCCTGTCCCTGACCTGCTAAACTCATAGATGTCCTCGATGTTGGCAAACAGCGTGCCCACCTGCTCCATGCTCAGCCCCAGGGCCCTGCCGTCCATCAGGGGACCCAGGTAGTCCTGTGGGGATGAGAGGGGTTACAGAGGCCAAGGGCTTGGCCTGGGTCCTCAGTATCTTCAGGTGCCCGCCCACCTCACCTCCACAATGCTGCGAAGGTCCCGGACATATGCCCGTTCTGTCTCCACGATCTCCTTGGCCACTCGCTCCAGCCTTGAGGGTTTCACCGAGTCCTGGATTCCCACGGGCAACAGGTGCAGACGTATGGGGGGCTCTGGCAAGGGCTCTGGCCTGGAGGCTGAGCAGGTTGGTGATGGGTCCCCCTCAGAGCCCACAGTGCTCAGGGAGGTGGAGCTGCCGGAACCCCTCGGGGAAGCCATGGTGGGGGCTGCCGGGGCTGCTAAGGTAGGGAGCAAGCAGTCAGGTCACGTTTCTATGGCCCCCACACTCCCTCACACTCAGCTGACAGTTCCCATAGGTCTCTGCTCCACTGTTCTAATTTGTCCAGTTTGATCCTGTACCTACCAAGAGTCCTTCCCCTCTGGGCCTTGGGCCTCCATTGCTTTAATTCACCTCCTCCATCAACTACAGTTATTGATTACGAGTCTGTCCCATTGACCTTGCCACTCCCACAAGCACAGCCCCCTTTATGTTCAAATTCCTCAGATCCACAGGGCCCCATTCAATGCAGCTATGGCTGGTTCCTTCACCCAGTTCCCTTTCCACGACACATCTCTTTACAGCCCCACCCCTTCACACTCAACTTTGTCCAATTACTTCAAGGTGCAGCCTTGGGCCCCTGCACATACTATTTAGTCCCTGCATGCAGAAGAACACTTCTTTGTGTCCAGCTCCTTTCTCTTGAATTCTCAGCTTATCCGTCTCCTCCGTGGCAACAGGGCTGCGCTGCGCTGTCCTGTCTTGGTCACGGTTGTTGGCAGCACTGCTCAGTCACTGAGGGATGCTCAGTGTCCTGAAGGAACGGACAAATGCCCACAGGCTCCACCTGTTGGGACTGCTCACCTGTCGGAGTATCGTTCACAGCTGCGCAGTCGCAAGCTTCACCTTGGTGGCCACACCCGAGCCTAAGGCTGGGTTTGGACGGACTGAGTCTCCGGGCTCCCTCGGGCATGGCTGAGTGGCACAACTCGGACCTACAAAGAGACCACACTTCTTGGGAACTGGATTTCACAGGCCTTGCTGCCGCTCCAAGTCACTGATAAGGTGCGGAAAGTTGATATAAAACCAAAGGAAGGGCACCACGGAGTGACTATTAGAGACACAAAGTGACAGAAAGAAGGGGCCGAGAAAACAAGCTAAAGACCGAAAGGTTGAGACAAAGAGCGAAGACAGCAAAAGTGCCCGAGTCTGCAAGTCCCATCTGTCTGGGCGCCCCCCCTCCCCAGGCGCCCCCCCTCCCCCGGGCTCAGGGATCCTGGGAACTCTCAGGCTTAGGCTGAAGCTGAGGGCGAGGGGCAGGGCTGGGAAAAACCGTGGGCGGGAGAGGCCGCGGGGTCCCAGGGGAGGGCGGAGGCTGGGGGACCGGATGCCAGGGTCCTGCAGACGGCTCCCTACCCCGCCCAGGACTGTGCGCTGGCCCCGGGCCCTCTACCCAGCTCCAACTGGTCCCTCGGCACCCCGACCGCCGTCCCCACCGTCCGTGCCCGAGCGTCCCCTGTGCGGTCCCAGCCCCCGATTCCCGCCGGCGCCTCCGCTACCCCCCACCGGCACGCCCCCTCATTGTTCCGCCTCGGCGCCGCCCCCCTCCCCCAGCTCCGGGCCCCTCGCTTCCCCTCACCTCCCGGGGAGCTGCGGGCCCCAGGGTCGGGAGTCCGGCGCGTCTGGACCGTAACGCGCGGTCCCTGAGGAGGCTCACATCCCGGACTCAGGGTCGTGAACTTGGGGGTCTCAGACTCCAGAATCCGGGGAGAGTTGGGATCCAGAGTCCGAAGTCTCGGTGTTCTAAGTGGAAGATGCTGCAACCCTCCACTCGAGTCTCAGACGGGGGCGCTGGGTACACAAATTCCTGAGTCTTCTAGGTAGGGCTGTGTATGGTAGGGGGCCCGGGATTCCGGAGTTTAGGGGCAGGGATGAAGTCACCTCCGGAGGGAGCGCAAGGACTCGCAAACTCCTCCGTCTCTTGGAAGTGATGGATGCTGCAGCCCTAAGTCGAGGAGCGAGGTCCGGTCCCCAAGTGGCTCCAGGAGGCGGTCTTGGACTCAAGAGTTAGAGCCCCAGGTGCGGGGGGGATGCGCGGCCACGGATCCTACGGTCTTCAGCCTGGTGCAGGGACGGGCCTCTAGCCTCAGAGCTGACGTCCGGGACCCGTGGCTCCTTCAAGAGGAGGCGCTGGGCATCAGAGGTCCCGGCGCGGGAGTCTGGACTTGCGAGTCTCTTAAAGACCGGGATAGAGATCCCGGACGCCCGGGTCCGACACTCTGTCAGTCTTGGGCTCCCCGATAGTTGCCCCGGGGCTCCGGGGGCGGCGGCGGCGCCGCATCTGGGGCGGGGAGAATCAGGTCCCAGATGTGGGGCGGGGGGCGGCCGCCCGAGGCTTCCCCTCCCCCTTGCCGCCGCTCGGGCTCACATCCTGTTCCCGCCCGCTGGGGGGAGGGGCTGCCTTCCGGCACGCCCTCCCTCAAAGGGTTAAAGCCCCCCCCCGCCCCCTACTCTGAATATTCTCGAGCGGGCGGGCCCAACGGCAGGCCACCGCCCACATTCCAGGGACCGGGAGGACTTTTACCTTTTACAGCGTGGGCCGGCAAGGCGTGAGAATCCGGAATAGTTGCACTCTCTTGTTCTTATTGGTCGGTAGGAAGGCTTTATAATTGCATATGCAATTTTGGGTGGAGCTGTCCAGCAAAGTCGCGCGACTACGACTGACTGAAGGACTTAGTGGCGCGAGGGTGCGGCCGTAGCTCCAGTGGCGCAATCGGTTAGCGCGCGGTACTTATATGACAGTGCAGGCGGAGCAATGCCGAGGTTGTGAGTTCGATCCTCACCTGGAGCACTCTTTTCTTCCCTTTTATCCGGATGTATTTTGTGGTCTCGCATCAGTTTTAGCAGTCTTCACATTTTGTAAATCAATCAAACGGTTCGTTTGACACAGGATTTCACCATGTAACTAGGGCAGGCTGCGAACTTACAAGAGATCCGCTTGCTTCTGCCTCCCGAGTGCTGGAATTAAAGGTGTGCGCCACCACGCTCGGAACCTACAGCATTTTTGAAGAATGAACATTATTTCCTTGTGAATTTTTTGCAATGGTTAATTGAACAGCCCCAAAGGTGCAGTTTCCATTCTGGTCACCAGGGGGCAATATAGCCCCTCATTAGATGGCCTGGGCCTCGAATGGAATCTAAATCTCAGGACCTAAGGGAGGGAGGGTTAGAACAGGCTTTGCCTCTTTTTGTACATTTCTTTTTCAGACTTCTAAATCAATTTGTTTTTCTTTTTAACACATACAGAATACTCATTAGGTACTGTTCTTCCTGTCCCTGAAGACTTGACTTTCTACCAAAGAGATTGCTACAAATCTATGAATTAGTTACATATTTTGACTTTTACCATGTTGCCCAAAGTGGCCTCAAACTCCTGTCTCCCTCACCATCTGCGAGTGTGAGTGTATTTTTAGATTAAGTAATGATATATATGGAGCGAGTAGAGTAGGATGGGACGTGGACTGTCATAGTAGTCAGTGATCCTTTTGTCTTGTTTTTGTTTCTTGAGAGGGTTTCTTTGTGTAGCCTTGGCTGTCCTGGAACTTAAACTCAAGAGATCTGCCTGCCCCTGCTCCCGAGTACTGAGATTAAAGGCATGCACCACCAATGCTTGGTTCCTAGTTTTGTTTTATGTGTATGGGTGTTTTATTTGCATGTATGCACCATGTTGCATACTTGGCGCCCCAGGAGACCGGAGAGGGAGTGGTAGATTCCCCTGAACTTGAGTTACAGAGGGTTGTGAGCCATGTGGTGCAGGGAATCAAACCAGATCCTCTGTCTGAGCAGTGTTCTTACTGTTGGTTCATCTCTCCAGCCCCGGGGAAGATCTTTAAACAGACACCTGGAGGAGGGGAACGAGCCAAGGGAACACTAGGGAGAAGTTCCAACTAACACCCTAGGGCTGAAGACCAGTGCAAGCAGAGAGGTGTGTTTGTGTGAGCCTGTCCGGCTCGTGCGCGCGCGAGACAAGGGGCAGGGTGTGATGGTGATCCAGGCTGTGGTGAGGCTTTAGGACTTTGACTCTTGGTGATTTGATTCTGGTGTTGCAACAAGCTTCCCTACTCTCCTAGGGGTAAGCAGCTAGGGCTGGGGGTGGGGGTGGAGCACAAAGAGCAGTTACTTTGAGCTCTGGGTAGGAGCAAGGTAGCTTTCGATGAGGGGTGGGAGGGTGGGTGGGTGGGTGTCCAAAATAGATCTGACTGTCTAACGAAGGGGCTTGTGTCATGTTCTTTTAAAAAATATTCGGTTTTGCCGGGCGGTAGGAGCCCGTCACTTTAATCCCAGCACTCAGGAGGATGTCAGTGAGTTCGAGGCCAGCCTGGTCTACAGAGGTCCAAGACAGCTAAGGCTACACATAGAGACCCTGTCTCAAAACAAATCGTTTTTATTTTATGCATAGGAGTGCTTTCCCTGCACACAACTAAGCACACTGCCAGCACGCCTAGTGCTCAAGGAGGCTTTGCAGACGCTAAGTAGTCAATGTGCACCCTGCTACATCCTCAGCCCATAGTGTCTGTTTGTTAAGAACAAGAGGCTGTTATTTTGGGGGGGCAGTGGGGAGAGGGGAGACGAGTGCCAGGGACGGTAGCTGTGAGGTTCTTCTAGTGTCCATCCATTCGTCTCTCTCCAATGTCCGACACTGCTTGAACTCATTCCCTCGACCTTCCCGACGCCCCCTCTGGGCCTTGGAGTTTCTGTTTCCCTCTCCCAACTCTGTTCCACAAACCAGGGCCTGAGACTTTCCCACAAGGGAGGCATTTCCTGGAAGAGGAGACCAAAGGTCAGTAGAATGGAGTGAAAGACAGGCAGGACTTGGGGAGAGGAAAGAGCGAGGTTAAGGGTACGGTTAGCGGAGGATGGACAAAAGAACGGAGAGGGGAGCAACTCGGAAGCAGAGGGCCTAGCATACATTGCTACTGCGTGAACCTGTCTGAAAAGCAAGTCCAACAAAGTCCTAGGGTCTAAGAGACAGAGGGAAAATAGGGAGGAGCATAATAACAGTAGGTGGGAGGAGTTAGGGAGAAGAAGAAAGAAAAGAGGAATGAGGGGGTGGAGGCTGAGGTGGGGGGGGGCGGAGGAAAAAAAGGAGGGGCTGAGCGCAGGCCCTGACGCGGGCAGCTTCCGGGCGCGGCCCAGCTAGGGGTGGCCGTCGCCGCAGGCTCTTGCCTTGTATGGTCGGAGGACGCGGCTGCTCTACCCATGCGCCCTGCGAGCCGAAGCCGACGAAGCTCCGGAAATGCCCGATTGCGGTCGGACCCAAGGTTCTGGGGTCTACAGATGCTAGAGAGCCGCGACCCTAACAGTGTTTGCACTTCCAATTTGTCAAGTCCCGGAACCCGAGAGTCCTAATAGAGCCTGGAACCCTCGCACTTTTTTAAAACCCCTACCCCAAACCTGGAGGGAGCATGTCTACAGTCCTAAACATTCATGAGGTTAAGGCAGGAGGATTACCAAGAGTTACAGGCCGCTCGGGGTTCAGAAAGGAGACCCAGGCTTCCCTTCTTTACCGGCATAAATAATACATAAATAAATAAATTCCATGAAGAGGCAGGTAAGAGGGCTCAGCAAGTTAAAGGCGCTTGTTGCCAAGCTGGAAGATCTGGTTCTATCCCCGGGACCCACTTTGTGGAATAGAACGGATTCCTGTAGCTTGTGTCCTGACCTCCACACTAGTTCGCGCATAAGCGCTCACACATACACACGTTATGCGTTAAAAAAATAAAGCCGGGCGTGGTGGCTTGCGCTTGTTATCCCAGCATTTCAGAGGCTGAGGCAGGAGGTTGCCAAGAGCTCCAGGCCAGCTTGAGCTAGAGTCGACTTTGTTTGAAAACAAACAAAAAACTAAACTAAACTTAAAAAAAAGTCCTCTGTCAAGAATTTGAAGTCCACCCCCGCTCTCTCCGCCGGGTGCAGGGTCTCCTAGGACCCGGCTTCGGGGTGACCCCCTGCCCCGGGCCGCCCCGGCTCGCGTTCCGGCACATTCCGTCCTCCCCGCCCCGCCCCGCCCTCCACCCTTGGCCCCGTGGGGACGGATACATCCCGTTCCAGCCAGAGCTGGGTCAAGAGCCGGAGGGACAGGCCTGGAGCGCCCCCAACGCCGGGAGAACTAGCTCTCCTTGTTCCTAGTGAGTGACCTCATCTCACCACGCCCCCTCAGGTGAACAACCGAGCTGGTAACGTCATTTCCTGCCAGGTAAGCGCCACCAGGCAGCACTTCTCCCCTGGCAAGTGTGGAGGTCAGCCATGGGATGTAGGCCGTAGCAAAAAACAAACAAAAACAAATTCCATCTCAGTTCACACTCAAGATTTTATTTAAAAATTCCAAAAAAATCCACAAAAATAGACCTGTAAGGTAACAATATATTACTTAATATATTATAGTATACTTTACACAGTATCCTTTTTAATATTACAAAAAGGGAAACGAAGTAGACGACCCAATATATATAAATACTATAAAATCTTATTACAATAAATAAAGTCGTCATAAATAAAGGGCCCACTGGTTGGGGAATGGATTTGGCAATGACTTTGGCTATTTGCTTTCGGAGGGAAATTTGAGCACCAGGATTCTCCCTCAGGGGAGGGTTCAACCACCAGACACTGACGGTGGAACCTCGGGGTCTAGTAAAAACTGGGATGGGGTTGTGGGAGCCAGCTCTTCACAGCAATTTCAGATTCCAGAAACCAGAGTTGGGGAGGGGCTGGTGCACACCTAGATAACTCCAGAACTGGGAAGCTAAGGAAGGATTTTCTGGAGTTCAAGAACAGCCTGGGCTACACACGAGCCCAACTGTCAACTGTGTCCCTCAAATATGCTACATCTTGGGTATCCTTGGAAGCAATCCACCTAAACACTGACCTTGTGAACTAGGGACCTGCCCCAGCACAGCACCAGGGAGGGGGTTAATGCTTTTTGGAATGTCAGGGAGGAGGCACTTAGTGACATAGGAGTCTCCCTAGGTCCCCACAGCAATAAGCACCACCTTCCTTGAGATCTAGCTGATACATACTGGGTAGGCATTTGTCACTCAGAGACAGAGATGCGATTGAAGATGGGGAGACGCCTTGGGGGTGCAGGGGGCGGGGGAGGCCCAAACACCCCAGCCTCAAAGACGGGTGAGTCTGACCCACCCAGGCTGCTGCCACTGCTGGCATAATCATCAGGATCCGATCCCAGGGAGTGTGCAGACGGGCTCCGAGCCAGGCCACCCAAGGGCCCCCAGATGGTGCTAGGGGTAGACCTTCGGCAGGAGGGGCAACAGGCTGGAATAGGGTCTCTTCGAGTCACAGGGGTCCCGGGGGCAGCAGAGAAGGCGGAGGGGGAAAGCGGAAGTTCCCCAGGTGGTGGTGGGGAGCTGGAGGGCGAGAAGGCGCATGAGGACAGGGAAGGGTCGGGAAAGCCAGGTGGTGGTGGTGAGGTTCTGCGGGCTGTGGGCAAGCCTGAGAAGCTGATGCTTTGGCGAAGCACGTGGGGCTGGCCCGGAGCAGGCAGGTCCTCGTTGGGGTTGTGGATGAAGTGGCATCGAGAGCCATAGGGACAACGGCCCTGGAGGTAGAACTTGTGGCAGAGTTCCGTTTTGTACTTGGGATGGCGATTGGCCTGGCGCAATTCACCCAGGCCGTGGGCAAACTGGCACTTAGCCCCGTATCGACAACGCCCGCTCTCTGAGTAGGTCCGACAGAGCTCCGTCTTGTATCGAGAGGAGGTGGTGGGAGTTGCAGTAGGCGAAGTAGGTGAGGGTGACAGTTCAGAGCTCGGGCGGGGAGCCAAGGGTGCGAAACCAGGGGGTGGGGGTACCCAACCACAGCTTCGGCCCTCCACCAGGCTGGTGGAGCGGCCAGTCAGGCGAGAAGTGACCCCAGATGGGATGGAGTCAGATGAGTTTATGCTCCAAAGTCCTGAGGACTCAGTCCCTCCGTGGTCGGATGAGAGGTCAGGGTTCAGCGACAGGAGGCTCTGAGAGAGGAATAGGGTTGTGGGTTAGGCCACCAGAAAAGGTAAGGTGACGACGCCCCGCCCCAGTTGTAAAGACCTTCACAAGCTTGCCATTCCGGTTTGTGGGTTCTCGGCCTGAGCCCCACCCGGAGAACCTGATTTGAGTGTTTCAACACGACTGAAGCTAATCCAGAAGGATTTAGGAAGCCCAGTGTCCCCGACGAAACAAGAGACGGGACCCTCAAACCAGAGCACACCCCTGCTCCCCAATTTTGGGCCTTTAGACCTCCCCGGATATGACCGCCCATGGTCGCTCCAGTTTCACAACTTGGGAGGAACCGGTCAAAGTCGACCCAGGCCAGATCTCTCTAGAACTCTGACCGAGTCAACTTCCCCTCACGAACTCTACACCCCCTAGGGCGCCAAACCGCGTCGAAGGCAGCGAAAGGAACCAGGCAGGTGTGGGGCTGCTTCCGCCCCGCGCCAGTGACAGCAGTGTGCCAGCTTTCCGTCCCCGGGGGCCCGTCGGTATCCGGACCGAGGCGCCGGGCTCCCTTTCTCACCTCCAGCCAGTTAAGGGGTGGTCTGAGAAGGAAGGCGGGAGTCCACGGCCTAAGTTTGGGGTGCCGGAGACCCGGGCGTACCGTCTAGCCTATACTCACCTCATAGATGGCAGAGAGATCCATGGTGGCGCGAATGGCCATGGAGAGAAGACCGACTGTCGGGCCGCAAAAGTCTGGTTGTGGCCCACACCCAGCTTTCGCCTTTTATAATTCCGCCTGGGGGCGTGGCCAAGGGAGCTTCCCGGACGCGCCCCCGCGGCGTAGCCCCGCCCGCCGGGTTCTAGGCCCCTTCCGCCCCTCTGGTGATTATTTTGCTGAATGTGCCTGAACTTGGCTGGCGGGCAGCCCCAGCCCCTCTCAGGAGGTAGTGGGGTGTTTCTAAGACTGACTGGTGGTGAAGGTAGTGGGGCGTCTGAGTAGTTTTCAAAGGTTGAAGACAGTCGGGAAGGGAACTGGGGCAGAAGTGGGGGCAGGGCTCCAGGGACAATTGACAAGGGCAGAGACTGAGAAGAGGGCGTGTGCGTGTGAGACAGACGGGGGCGGGGAGAGACAAACTGGAAGAGACAGAGATTGCCAGAAGCCGAGAGAAAAACAAAGAGACAGCGAGAGACGCACGCAAGTTAGGCCCGCTGGTTTAGGACTGCAGTTCCAGCCAATTCAGGAAAGCTGAGGCAGGAGACTAGTAAAATTCAAGGCCTGGCTGGACTACAGAGTGAAAAATGAATTCTAGGTCAGCTTGGGTAATTTAGAGAGACCTTCGTCTTAAAAAATAAAAAGGGTTAGCCAGGCAGTAGTGGCGCACTCCTTTAATCCCATCACTTGGGTGGCAGAGACAGGCAGATCTCTTGAGTTTGCGGCCAGTCTGGTTTACAGAGCTAGTGCCAGGACAGCCAGGGCTACTCAGAGAAACCTTGTCTCAAAAATACAAACAACAAAAAGTAAAAGGGGCCAGGCGATTGTAGTACACACCTTTAAAACCAGTTTAATCCCAACACTCCCAGAGGCCAAGGAAGGTGGGTCCACACTCCCGGAGGCCAAGGCAAGCGTGTCTCTGGAGTTCAAGGTCAGCCTGGTCTACAGATTGAGTTCCTGGTAATCAGGGCTAAGCAGAGGGAAAAAAAAAAACCCAAAAAACCAACAACCCTGTTTCAAAACAAGCCCCCCCCCCCCCGGAAAAAAAAAAGCCAGTGGCATATGGCTGTAATCATGACACTTCAGAGGCGTTCAGTGCCAGTCCCAGCTATTGATCGAGGTCCAGGTCCTATTTCCAAAAAGAGAAACTACGGAGGTGGGGGCGGGAATAAAAAGAAGGCTAGGCGTTAGAGCGGTTTCTTGGCACTCCTTGGCTCCAATCCCTATTACAGAAAGGAAAACAAAGATGACACATATAGAGGCTGGAGAGACGGTAGGGTAGGGAGAGGGTGTTGGGGAACAAAGGTAAAGAGGGCGTGGGTTACAGAAAGATAAAAAGCAAAGGTGAAATAAAAACTAAAACCTCCAGGCGCAGGACCCCTTTCCCCAGTTGCGCTTTCAATTATTAAGAGCCTTCGTTCCCGAAAACTCACGGTTGGAATAGCTTGAGTCTTTTATTAGGGAGGAAGTTCGCCTCTATTGAAAGGGGGGGGGGGCACTGGGCACCTTCAACGTTGAATGGGTCTCTTGTAATGTAAGCAGTCTTAACTAAAATTTAAATTCTCTCGAGGATCGTTCTCCACCAGATCTGTAAGGTTTTTGTTTTTCAGCAGGACCTCCTGGCTGGCCTGGAACTCGGGATCTTCTGGTCCCCACCACCCAAGTAGTGTTAGGATTAGAGGTATGCCCCGCCGCCACACCCAAGTTTTTTGTTTTTTTTTTTTAAAAATGTTTCTTCAAGGGTATCTCCAGTGAAAAAGTGTTTGGGTACGGAGGTTATCATTGCTAGGAGTATAATTACAATGCTGGGAAGTTCTTGCACGGTGCGCTGCGCACTTGTATTGAGGTGGGGAGATTCTGCCAGGCTTCTCACTGGTTTGCTTCATCGGAGCCCCGGGGCGGGGGGGGGGGGGGGGGGAATCCCTGGTGCAGCGCTTTCTGGGGCCAAGGGGCCTTCCTGGGCTGGTCCCGTGAGCTGGGCGGGCCCTACGCTGCTGTGGCACGGTTGCGGCCTCCCGCTCGCCCGTGACTCACTCGCCTAGGGCGGGGGGAGGGGGGCTTCCTGGAAGCCGTGACGAGGACGCTCAGCCCGGACGCTTGGGTTCCTCTTCTGTAACCAGGACTCCAGTCTGTTGTAAACAGTCTCGAGGACAACGGGAAAAGAAGGGAAGGAGGGGCCCAAAAAACTTGCCTCCCGCCCAGTTTACAAATCCCTGAGCCAGCCGATTTTAGGACCAAGCGCAGTGAAAGGGGGTTGGGGTAGGGCATGCTGGGGTTTTCGGAGGCCAGCTGGGTCTGGATCATGGAGAAGTAATTCCAGTTTCGATTCCCTGGAGACTGGGAGCTTTTGCCATCCCTGACTCAACTTGGACCCCTCCTCTATCTGCTGAGTCACTGGGACGAAAGCCTGGCCACCTGGGTCTCGGCTACTCTCCAAAGGGTGCTGGGGTGGGGGGCAGAGGTGTAAGAATGACGATCCTCTGAAAATCATGACTTTATAAGCAGTAGGACTCACGAAGTGAGACGTCTTTATCTTAGAATACCGGGTCAGGTGCTCGGCTCTTCCCTGCTCCACCACCACCACCACCATCATCCCGCGCGCCCGGAAAGCCCTGGCCCCCAACCTCTGCTTTCTTAGCTTGTCCAGGGATCCAGACACAGGTGATCTTAAGTGGGGCATGGACTCCTTCAGACCCAGGCGTCCAGGTCCCACTCATTCTACCTTAGACCCCTAGCCCTCCTCCTCAGACCTAAGGGCGTCCAGGCCCCACTTGCCCCTCACACTTGAGATCCAGGCCCCAGCCCCTATTCTCTGGATCTAGGAGTCGGAGGGTCCTGTCCAACTCCCGCTTGGGTGCCCTCATCCCAGCAGGAAGTTCATGGCCTGACTCCTCCCTGCTCCCCACGTAGCCAGCGGGGAAAATCCGCGGCCCTGGTAGTGGCCGGGAATCCCCTCTGGAATGACGGTGGAGAAGGGGGATGGCCAAGGTCCTGCGAGGCACTCGGCCACGTCCTGTGCGCGCTGGGGTGGGGGCTGGGGAAGCGCAAAGGGGTGGAAACCAGAGAGGCTAAAAATATAGCAAGTACTTCCGGCCGAGGTGAGGGGGGGAGGAGAACTCAGAGCTGAGTTTCCAGAAAAACAAGCGGGGACAGGAAACCTGGGGGTGTGAGAGCCGGTGGGCCGGCGGGTAGGCGGGCTAGGGCCCACGTACTCCCGGCACGTGTGGGCCTGTCGTGATTGCCTGTGAATGTGTCTAGGCAGGGTGTTGCAGGGGAACAGCCAATATGCCAGCCTCCTGCGGGAGGGAGGGAGGTGTGCTTGCTACTTGTGTGTTGTGGGGAGTCTTAAAGTTTCTAGGAAAGCAATTGGGGGCTTAGGTGAGGACGACAAGTCTATGTGTGACCTGTGCTTAAGGTCCCCTTAGAGCAGGATCCTGTTAAAAAAAAAAAAAAGTGAAGCCACCTGTCTGCCACTGACTAGACCATGTGTGCTGCAAGTGGCCTCCAGAGGATTGTCAACTGTAACTCCTGCAGCTGTCTTTGAGGGGCTTCGTGGGAGCTTCCACCCCACCCATCTGTGTGTAACGGAACCGCTGTGAGATGTGACTTAAGTGTGTCATTCCTAGCAGGTGCCTGGGGGATGGGATTCTGCATGTAGGACCTTCAAGTAGAGTGTGGGCTTTCTGTGGCTCGCTTGGCCCTGTTGTACCATGTGAACAAATGGTATTTGTGGATCTGTGTCCTTGTTTGTGGCTCTCTTGGAGGTTGCCTGTTCTTGAGTGTGGTAGACCCGAGTCTGGACATAGTTCCTCTGAGGAGCAGTCACAAGGCAGTGGAAACCAGTGGACTTTGGTGCCTGACGTAGCAGCTGGCACATGATGAGGCGAGTTGCTGGGGTGCTGGTTGTGTTGTGCTCCTGCGTCTGCCTGTGGGCAGAACAGACGTGCACACACCCGCACCTAGATACTGAGTGTCTGAGCCAACCTTATCTGTCCCCAGCGAATGAGGCTGCTGTGCCACAGAGCTGACTCAGCATGTGATGGGCAAAGTCTCGATGGGTAAGAGATAGCGGGTTAAGTGGTTGTTACAGGGTTTGGCAGTCACGTGGTTAGATGGTTGTTTTAGTACTTGCTCACAGAGCAGGGTCCATGTGTGGGAGGATGGCCAGTGTGCTAATCCCTACCAGGGGTGGGGAGCATGCCCACGGTCAGTCAGCCTGCAGATATGAGATGCAAGCCCTGGGACTTGCAGCAGCTCTCCTACCCCTACCTCTCAAGTGCTGAGATTCCAAGCATGAGCCACTTTGGCTGGCTCTGTGGTTTTTCATCTCATACATAGACCCTCCCTGGCGTGGGGTTTTACACAGGCCTGCACAACTTCTCTGTGCCGGTAAGGTTGGGAAAAGGCCCTTTCGTGACCCAGGCTTCCTCCCCTGTGCTCCCTGAACCTAGCTAAAACCTCTTCACTCTTTGAGAGCACATTCCCATCAGAGGCTGACCAGTGCTCTGTGCTTCTCTACACTTTTGCTGGTGGTATCCCTAAGACCTAATACCCCACCCCTCCAGTCTGCTGTCACCTGCCTAGCAAAGGTTTCTTTGACAGAGTGCCTGTTCTGCCCAGGCTGGTCTCAAACCATCCTCCTGCCTCAGGCTCTCAAATGCTAGTACAAGTGTAGGCCACTAACGCACTTCTTTTTTAAACAAGTGTGTGTGCAATTCAGAAGACATCTTGAGGCAGTTCCCTCCTTCCAATATGCAAATCCCAGGGATTGAACTGAAGTCACCTAAATTGGTAGCAAGCGTGGTTACCCATGGAGCCACCTCAAGGGACCAGACACCCATCTTTTTTCTCTTTGGAGACAGGGTCTCACTTATGTAGCTGTCTGGACTCAAAACCTGCATTGGTCCTCCTGCATGCTGCGATTACAGGCTTATGTACCATGCTGCATTTTGTTAATCTCTAGGAATATAGGAATCTTTGCTCACATTGCACAGGGCTGCCATCTTTTTTGAATGACTATAGCTTGGTGCCCATCTTCTATGGTGTGGGGTTGTGGAATATACACCTGTCGCCCCATGGTCTGCTGTCACCTGAGTATGGTTTTAAGCAGTTTGGCCTTGTATCTGATGCTGGATGCTACACCTACCAGCATGCGGTATGTTGACATCAACTCTGTAGGGCCAGCTGTACCTGTCTTCCTGTACCATAGACTGCCATGTCTTAGCAAATGTACGGTGCGAGTCCCTGGCTGTAAACTCTTGTGTTCTGCTTGGACAGGTCAGTGTGTTTTCAACTGTATGTAACAAGAAATGGTCAAGGAGATGTGTGCTGGGTGCCCAGGTGATCAGCTGATGCGTCACTTTGGGAAATAGTTCCAGTTACTAGTCATTCAAGACTAGCATGGGCTATACAATGAGTCCCTGTCTCAAAAAGAAAGATAAACATGGTGGCCTGCATCAAATCTGTAACCATCAGCACCTGTATGGAGAAGAGGGCGGTGCAGACAGGACAATCCCCAGGGAAGCTCCTCCTGTCTCAAACCAAGAGACAAGGAGAGAACTGCCCCATCTAAAGTCTGTCTCTACCTCCACGAGTGCCCCCCCACTTGTGCACGCACGCAATATAATCACAGTGCTTGGAAAGCTGAGGTGGTGGACTGCTGAGTTAGACGGCAGTCTGGACGTATTCTGAGGATGGTCTAGGGTGATGGAGTGAGACCCCCATCTCCACAACTCCAAATAAAAAGAAATTAGGACTGGGTGGCAGTGTTGCACATCTTTAATTCCAGCACTTGAGAAGTAGAGGCAGGCAGTTCTCTGTGATTTTGAGGCCAGCCTAGTCTACAGAGCAAGTTCCAGGACAGGTACCAAAGCTAGAGAGAGAAACCCTGTCTCAAAAACCCAAAAATAAATAAGTAAAATTAAAACAGTGAAAATTAGGCTCAAGATCAATGACTTTAAGTAAGGACCTTTACCCCAGAGATCTGGGGAGATAAAGGGGGTGATTTAACTAGACAAAGGGCAGACTCAGGCTTCCCAGCACTGAAGACAGGCAGGGAGGAGTGCCTAGGCAGTGTGGTCACACTTGCACTTCGATGGCTGATGGCTTTCCAGCCTTCCCAGTAGGGGAACATGAGCTCCTGGAGTTCACAGATGTCCCCATGGTCTCGGTTTTTTGTTTGTTTTGTTTCTCGAGACAGGATTTTTACTGTAGTTTGGGAGCCTGTCCTGGAACTAGCTCTTGTAGATCAGGCTGGTCTCAAACTCAGAGATCCGTCTGCCTCTGCCTCCCAAGTGCTGGGATTAAAGGCGTGTGCCACCACCGCCTGGTGGTCTCAGAGGTTTCTGAAACAGGGTCCCGTCCATGAGGCCACTGGTTCGTGGCATGAGAAACAGTTTGTCACTCTAGCCTTTCCGCTGGCAGCTGGGCCTGGGTTGGTAGCTTCATCTAGCACTTATCCAGGCCTGCAGCCTGTGGCTGAACTCCCACTCCCCTGGGAAATGGGGTACTTGTGGGGTTCTCCCTACCTCCCTCAAGCCCCCTCTCCAGGGCCTGCTTCCCGGAGGAGCTGGGTTCTTCCCCAGAACCCATGATTCATTCCTGCTAGGGCCTTTTCACTTCTGCTTTGGTGCTAAAAATATAGAGACCTAGGAGTCCCTCTGAGCAGGCCACATATTTCCCAACGCTCCCTGCCAGAGCTCTGCTGACGCAGGGTCGAGCTGGGACCTAAACTGCTCTTAGTTGGTGTGTGCTGAGGTCAGGGCCTACATTTCTGCACTTCTCTTTTTCTGGGCCAGGAAGTCCCTTCTATAGCCCCAGGTAACCCAGCAGTTTGGTTCCCCTTACATACATATGGTCACACTTAGGAGTTGGGGGCAAAAGGCAACAAAAGGGGACTGGTAGAGAGACAAGACTGGAGGAAGATGAGTTAAAAACTAGTGCATCCACTGGGATAGACGGAGGAAGATCTAAAGGGCCCAGTCAGTGCCACACCCAGGGCCAGGTGGGAGATGGAGGTGAGGGAGGAGGTAGAGTCCCTGACAGAGGTCATCAGAGGCCCAGTGGGGAGGTCCACCCTAGGTCAGGGAGCAGAGTGGGTGGCAGCAGAGGCAAGGCCTGATCTGTGCGCCTATAAGCCTTTGCTGCCCCCTGCTGGTTTCAACTACATTGCCCTGGCATGACAAACAAATCAGAAACAGGAGCCACCTGTTTTGCCTTAGGCTACACTTCATTCTCCCCGTCCCTGCCCCCAAGACCTCAGAGACTGCCCCCAGGGCCAGTTGAGGCTGCAGTCGTCTTGCCTGTGACCTTGTTGGCACAGTCCAGCAGGGCAGTGTGAATGTCTTTGGCACAGGTAATCTGGGCTTTGATGACAGCCAGGTACTGAGGATAGGGCAAGCTGTCCGGTTGCACTGCATCTGGCTTGGTGGCTGTGGGTACCAGTGTCGGAGAGTGCTTGGCGCTGTCACAGCTCTGTGAAAGGCATTCGTGGGCCAGGCGCTGTGGGAAGGCAGGAAAGAGAACAACAGCATTGTTTCCAGGGACCTGAAACCACCCCCATCACTCAATCTGGGGCTAGGCGACCAGCTAGGCGACCAGCTCTAGGTGTCCAAGGTCTGGTCTTGTCAGCCTCTTGCTGGATTACCTAGGACATGGGACTACTTCTCACTAGCACCAAGCTATTAGGTATTTTTGCTGTGGCTTGAGTCACAGACTTGCTATGCAGACAAGGCTTGCCTCAAACTTTTTTTTTTGTTTGTTTGTTTTTTTTTGCCTACTACTCTACGCGGATCTACAGTGGACGGTGGAAAGTTGTGTGTGGGTCGTTCTGCAGGCTGCTGGGCAGCGCTGACTGATGGTCATGGAACTACATGCAGTGCCGGGCCGGGGATCGAACTTGGGTCCTCGGGCGGAGCGGTCAGGCGCTCTGCCCCCTGAGCCGTCTCTCCGGCTTGGCCTCAACCCTTTAAATCCGACAACTTTATTCTCCTGAGAGCTAGGATTATGAGTGTACACAACGGGCTAGTGACAGGTGGCTTTATAGGAAGGACATTTGCTGCCAAGCCTGATGAACTGGGTTCTATTTGCCCAGGATTCACACAGTGGAAGGAAAAAAGAAATCAACTACCACAGGACATCTTCTGAACTCTGAATGTGCACAAGCACACCTTGCCCACAACAAAATGTGATAATTTAGAAAAACTAAAAATGTTGGACTGGAAAAGTGCCTCAGAGGTTAAGAGCACTGGCTACTCTTCCAGAGGTCCTGAGTTCAATTCCCAACAACCACATGGTGACTCACGACCATCTGTAATGAGATCTGGTGCCCTCCTGCCCTGCTTGCAGTATGCAAGCAGAACACTGTACATATAATAAATAATTAAATCTTTAAAAAAAAGTGTAACATCATGCCTAATTTCTTAAATGGATTGAATAGGCGCCTCTCTTGTCTGGTAAGAATGGAACGGGTGTGTGAAATGGTACCAGCACTACACTGTTTTAAGTCCTAACTGATGAACATTAGCTGCTGTTGTTGCGCCACTCCCTGGATGACACCCGCACCTAGTGGTTGTCCTCTCCCTTGGGGCAGCACTATCCTGGTTCCCTTTCCCCCATACTGCTCAGGTCCCTCCTCTGGACACTGATGGGGCCTGCACCTCTGCTCCTAGCCTCCCACCCTCTGCCCAAACTGCTGCTTCTTGTGAGGCCTTGTTAGAGCGGACTCTCTTGGTAGGAGTAGTCCTCCAAATCCAGCTAAAGTAATTTCATCTTGCAACAAAATTCCGATTAGCTGTTCCATGTGGCAGACTGCAGTGTCCTTCTCCTAGCTAGACAGTGCTGCTGAGGCCAGCAGAAACCCTGATAAGAGCTGGGCGTAGGGCACATGCCTATACTACCAACCACGGGGAGGTGGATCAGGCCATCTTGTTTCTTTCTGTTTCTCCCCCCCCCCTCACACACACACACACACACACACACACACAAAACTGGGTGGCAAAGGCTGGATTTTGCAGTGGTGTACCTGGGTCATGGTACCCATCCCACCATGTGGCTAATGAGCTCACATCAACACGCTGGACTTTGAACCTGGCTTCAGTTCTTGTGCCTTTTTTAGGGGGTAAACAGCTCCAGAAATCATCTAACATGCTTCCTAATTTCAACTATAGCTCTGGCTCTCACGTGGAAACCCCTTCCCCAGAGTCCAGCAGTTGGATGGCCTGGCAAAGTCTTCAAGCTTCTATTTCTTATTTCTATCTACCTCGCCTCCTTCCTCACAGCGCAACATGACTGTCTCCTTGGGGCTCCCACCTCCAGTTTTAGCTGGTTTTTTGTTTTGTTTTGGTTTTTGGTCTTTATGAGACAGGGATTTTTTGTGTAGCTTTGGAACTTGTCCTGGAACTCACTCTGTAGACCAGGCTGGTCTCAAACTCACAGAGATCCGCCTGTCTCTGCTTCTTAAAGACATCCACTACCTCTGCACGGCTTGCACTTGGATTTTATCCAGAGTCTAATGAGACCTAGCCTATACACCTAGGATGAGTCTCCTGATATTCCGAGGGGAACTGACTGGTAAGTGTGGTAGTGGGGATTCAATCTACAGCTTTACTTGTATTAGGTAAACCCTAACACTAAGCTACATCACCAATCTTGTTGCTTCTATTTTTTTTTTTGAAATAGGTTTTGCTCTAGCCCAGAACTCAAGGTACTCATGGTAGATCTCCTGCATCAGTCTCTTAACTATTAAAATTACAGACACGAGCCACCATGCCCAGTTCTTTTTCCCTTTAAAGCAAGATCTCACCTACTCACCCAGACAGGTCTTGAATTTTGGTCATCCTGCTTCTTAAGCAGTTGGGAAAATAGGACTACACCAGCAGCCTTGGTCCCTTAGGGGAATTTGTGTGTGTGTGCATGTGGTTGAGGCAGCATGGACAAAGGTCAACCTCACATGTTGTTCCTCAGGACCTGCCCCCCTTCCCTTTTGGGCAGGATCTTTCACTGCATCCTGGAGTTAGTTAATTCGGCTAGGTTGTTGGCTACTGAGCCTCAAAGATCAAATTATCTCCACCTCCCCAGCACTGGGATTATAGGCATGCACTGCCACACCCAGCTTTTTATGTGGGTGTTAGGAAGCAAACAGGTCCTTATTGCTAGCATAGCATATTCTTTTTTAAAAAATATATATTTATTTAATGTGTATATAGTGTTCTGTCTGCAGGTATGCCTGCATGCCAGAAGAGGGCACCACATCTTATTACAGATGGTTATGAGCCACCGTGTAGTTGCCCTAGCAAACACTTTCCAACTACATTACCTCCCCATATGGCCATGGACCTGGCCTATGCTCCGCACCTGCTTCTCTGCCTGCCCACTCAAGAGTCCTGGGTTTGCCACAAAGCAATCAGCCATGCTCACATCACAGGTCCCCATGCCCTTCTCCCAGCCAGACTGTCAGGTGGAGCTCCCTGGTCCACCAGCAGCCTTCTCTGTCACTCTCCCTACTCCAGGCTTCCACATGCTCCCGAGCGTCCTCGTCCTACACAGCTTCACCACTCTGGTCCAGATTCCTGTCATCACACCCTTGGTCACACCAACCTGTCCCTCTATGGTCTTGTATCTGTCACTCCACTGAACTAGAAGGCCTGTGAGGGTAAGAATCAGGACAGACATCATCCCCTGCCGTCAGCTGAAGTACATGTGGGTCTCAGAGGAAGAGACGATGGGTGATTGAATGACTGAGGGTTCAGAGCTAGCTGTGGTACTGCATGTCATCTTAACACGCTCAGAATTTGGAGGCAGAAGAATCACTGCTTCCAAAGTTTGAGGCCTGGCTGTTCTACAGACTAGTGTCAGGAGAGCCTGTATTACTGAGTGGTCTCAAAACAGCTCAAAAACAAGGTTGTTGCTAGGCAGTGGTAGAACACACCTTTAATCTCAGCACTAGGGAGGCAGAGGCAGGCAGATCGGATCTGAGTTCAAGGCCATCCTGGTCTATGGAGCTAGTTCCAGAACAGCCAGGGCTACACAGAGAAACCCTGACTTGAAAAACCAACTAAACAAACAAACAAACAAAAATGTTCTTGTGGGGAATTAATCAGAGTTTGATCACAGAGCATCTAGAAAGATCCTTACCAAGCAGAGTTCCAGCTGATCACAGAGAGCGTAGAACTCTTCCAGACACTTGTCAAATCGTTGGATGGGTCCATCACTGCTCTTCCTATGGCCAGGGAGAAAAGGCTGTTTGAGGAATGATTTCCAATCTTTGGGGTGGGGGTGGGGCAGTGGGGGAGGAGTTTCTAGGGTAAAGTGGGAGAGAGGCTTTACTCACTGTCCATTGTCAATGTTTGTGTTCTGAATCAGGTTCTGGGCTGCAACCTTCATCAAAGTCTAGTTTTCAAAGGATAAAGAGAGAAAAGTAAGATGTAGGAGGTGATGTCGCCCGAGGAGCTGCACTCTAGAGTTCCTCAGGCCTTCTTTTCAGTTGGCGCCTCCCTCCTGATAATACAGACTAAAGCTCATTGCCATCCCCACAGGAATCTCTGCCGACATTTTCCTAGAGGCCTGCTCCATTTGGGAACTCTCACCAGTAACTTCCGACATACTCTTTACTAGTCAGCTCTGCTAGAAACGACCTGTATGCCGGTCTTCTGCACAGGACTCAACAATCTGGGCTGTTTCTCCTTCAAAACTCACTCACCCATCCACCCCGACCCCGCCGCCTTTGGTTTATCCACACAGGGTTTCTCTGTGTAGCCCTGGCTATTCTGGAACTAAGTCTGTAGACCAGGCTAGCCTTGAACTCACAGAGATCCGTCTGCCTCTGCCCCCTGAGTGCTGGGATTAAAGGCGTGCACCAACAAACCCGGCTAAAATTCTTTTCTCTCATTCATTCTCATTTTCTCTCTCTCCACAGGGTCTCGTTATGTAGCCCTGGCTGGCCTGGAACTCGCTCTGTAGACCAGGCTGGCCTCGAACTCAGAGATCCGCCTGTCTCTGCCTCCCGAGCGCTGGGATTAAAACGTGCACCACTACGACCGGCTGGACAGAGCCTCGCTTTGGTTGGACACAGACACATAGACAGCAAGTCTAACTTCGCTTCCCTGTCTGTCTCTCCTGCAACACCTCGCGCATCCTCTCGGTCGCCCGCCAAACCCCGCTCGCTCCCCGCAGTGCGGTTCATCACCTGGAGACTCTCCTTCAGCTGCGGGATGAGCATCTTGTAGCGCTGCACAGGATCGAAGTCCTGTTGCTGCTGCTGCAGGAGCCCGCTCTGGCCGGGTCCCACCAGTTGCGTCTGTTGCTGGGGACCCGGGCCACCGGCGGAACCCGGACCTGACACACCCGCTGCAGAGGAAACCACGGAAGCCTGCTGCTGGGGCGCAGCCATTTCCCTCAGGTAGAACACCGGATGTACGTCACAAGCGCGTCTGCTCCGGTCTGTCTTCCGCCTCTTCAGTGTGCGAGCTTAGTTTGTTAGTTAGCTCCGCCTCCCAGACAGGTTAGCCAATGAAAGTAGAGGATGTGTGTTCGCCCCTGCCGTCTCAAAACCGAGGCCAAGACTGGAATATCTTTCCACCAATCACAAGAGCAGTTCTCATCTAGCTCCGCCCCCTCGTCCCCAACTGGCCAATCAGTGCGAGAGGCTGACCGCACTGTTTCCCCGCAGGCCTTGCGGCCTGAGGCTACTTGTCCGCTCGACAGAGTCTCGGTGGCTGTTGGAGCGGGAGCTGCGAGTCCGTGGCTGGCGCTGCCCGAGCTTTTCTTGAGGCTCACAGGCTCGCCCGAGCCCTTCTTTCCGGCCCACCTCATCCTGCCTTTGCCCGCGGAACCCGCGCCCACTGGGGCCTGGCCTCAGATCCGGCGTCTCGAAGTCGGCACGCCCCTCCGCGTCGGCCCGCGGCCAGCGAGGACTCAGTCCGCGCCGCCGTCGCCTGGTCGCGATGGCGCCCACCATCCAGACTCAGGCCCAGCGGGAAGATGGCCACAGGTAGGTCTCCTGCCACCTGCAGTTTGCTTTTGTGCTGTGAGCTGCTAGCCGGGGCCTAGGCCGAGGGGTGCAAACGCTGGTTCCCTCAAGTCGGCTCGCGATGCCGTGCAGC